GAAGAGTCACACATTAAAATCAAGTTCTGAGCTGTGGGCAAATTGCTTTTCTCAAAACATATTGGCCAAGGCCAGACTCCTGCTGATGGACCATTTGCACTTCTTAAGAAGTCAATTCTGTCCCTTCACTGTTATCAGTAATACGTTCTAAAATAGAAATAGCTCTCAATTCAAAAAGACACTGTCAGCGGTAGAACTTTACATTCAGTGATCTGTGTTTTATTTCCATTTAACGGACGTTTGTTTGTATCTTCAGCGTTCACATACATGTTTTATAATCACGCTTTCTCATCCATATTACCTAGCTCTTTGAGTTGGTGCAGAGCAAAGCCATTCACTTTTTTAATTTCTTATTAGTATTGAGGTTATAGAACTTGTCAAACTCTAACAAAATTTATCCTCCAGTGAAAGGGTATTCGGATATATATAGATTTACAAAGCATATGCTATTAGGTTATGTGAATGATTATAGTATATTATCTATAAAGAAAGAAGCAAACAAAACCCTAATTTCAAATAAGTAAATGTTGCAAAGAAATAAAAGAAGAACGTCTAAATGGGAATTGGCACATGATAAACAAATGCAAGGAAACCATTTATTATAATAAAAATTGCCAATAGTAGTAAATGGAAATCATCGTAAAGGGAATGAAGAGGTGATGATTTTCTCCTTCAGAATTCGTAGGATATGTTTGCAGTCCCAACGTGGTATTTGGTGTGGAAACCCTGCTCTCAGGCGGGTTTATACTGAACTGCCCTTTATAAAATGACAGTGGCCCTAGTGGGAAAAAGTTGCACTGCAATCCCAAAGGCACACAGTTCGAGGCCACCAGCTGCTCCGTGGGAGAAGGATGAACAATCTCCTCCCATGCAGTAAACCACCAATGAAAACCCACCAGAGGGTCAGCTATGGGTTGGTTCTGACTCTGGTACGCAACAACAATAACAGCGCTTACCTGGAGTCTTCACTAGGTGTGTCTGTGCTTAGAAGTTTATCATAAATCAGTTGAAGCAGTTCACGAGAAGCCTATATGCTGGAGGATCTCCATTGTGATAAATATTAGAAGTGGAAAATGATTCAATGTCCTGTGGAAGAATTACTGAGTAAGTTCTAGCATATCAGTATGAAGAGAAAATAGGAAAGCAGCATATCAAATAGAACGACTCTTGAGAAATAGGAAATGCAAACCAGAACACTGAAAATGGTTGCAGTACATAAAAATATGCATACACGGGAATAATTTGAAGAGGCATTTTTATTCTATTTGTGGGGGGTTTTTATTATGGAGATACCCCCCACCCCAATACTTTCTTTCACTGACATTAAGATTCATAGAGTTGTTCCTATTTACATTGTGTTTTATGAAATTAATCACGCCATTGGACTATGCCCACTGTTACCCTACCTTTTATTTATTTATTTATTTATTTATTTATTTATTTATTTATTTATTTATTTATTTATTTAAAAATTAATGTGACTATGGTGTTTATTAGCATGCAAAGACCTTAAGTACATAAATCAACTCACAAAAATATAGTTATAAATTTGATCATTTGAAC